AGTAGTAGTAGTAGTAGTAGTAGTAGTAGTAGTAGTAGTAGTCAGTAGTAGTAGTAGTAGTAGTAGTAGTAGTAGTAGTAGTAGTAGTAATACTAATATTAGTAGTAGTAGTAGTAGTAGTAGTAGTAGTAGTAGTAGTAGTAGTAGTAGTAGTCGTAGTAGTAGTCGTAGTAGTCGTAGTAGTCGTAGTGGTAGTAGTAGTAGTAGCAGTAGTGGTAATGGTAGTGGTAGTGGTAGTGGTAGTACGGTAGTGATAGTAAGGTAGTAGTAGTAGTAGTAGTAGTAGTAGTAGTAGTAGTAGTAGTAGTAGTAGTAGTAGTAGTTATTATTAAAAAAGGAGGAGGGGGAGGAGGAGGAGGACGACGAGAAGGAGGTGGAGGAGCAGGGGGAGGAGGAGGCGCTCGCAAGAACCCGATGGCTGGGTCCAAATCAGCCCCAAACGGGGCGCTTTGCAGGGCAAGGTCCCCACTGGCCGATGCTCGTGAAGAGCGTGCTTATCAAGACGTAGAAATGTGCAACGCCACGGGGCCCATTCGGGTTCCCGTGGCGTTGCGCGTTGCTCCGGGGAGGGGGGGGGGAGCAACCGGCCCCCCAATGTGTCATTGCGAACAACAACAACGACGACGACGACGACGACGACGACGACGACAACAACAACAATCACTTTAAGAGTATTCGGTCTTATCTGCTCGCGTGTCATTCAATACGCATATCCCAAACCCTGGATACCCGCCCTCTTCGTCTTCGATCGTACCCCCTTTTGGGGGTATATTCATTCCCTGCCACGTGTGGTTGGTGAAGCCCTTGAAAGCGAAGGGCAACATATAACGGGGGAGAATGAGGACGAAGGAATCGGAGGCAGGGAAGGGAGGTGCAAGAAGGGGAGGAGGACGATGATTTGCGCTGTCGCTGTTGGCCAGAACACAACATGTCACACCGTTATTGGCGCGGGCCACAATGGCCACATACGTATACGAGGCCGCGGAAGGCGGCGACGGAACCGCTCAGGGCAGAAACGGAGCCACGAAGGGCAGAGAGGGGGCCACGAAGAGCGACAGCGGGGCCACGAGGGGCATGCATATGGGGCCACGACGGGCGCGAACGAGCGGGGGCCCCGAAGGGCATACATGTATGGAGCCAGAAAGGGCTACAGCGGGGCCACTGAGCGCAGAAAGTGGGCCACGAAGGGCAGCGAGGGGGCTACGAATGGCGACAGCAGGGCGACGAAACGCATGCGTATGGGACCACGAAAGGCGCGAGCGAGCGGGGGCCACGAAGGGCAATTAATCCGGGGCCACAGAGGGCAGCGACGGAGGGCAGAAAGTGGGCCACGAAGGGCGGAGAGGGGGCCACGAAGGGCGACAGCGGGGCCACGAAGGGCATGCATATGGGGCCACGACGGGCGCGAGCGAACGGGGGCCACGTAGGGCATTCGTATATGGGGCCACAAAGGGCGACAGCGGGGCCATTGAGGGCAGCAAAGGGGCCACGAAGGGCAGCGAGAGGGCCACGAAGGGCGACAGCGGGGCTACGAAGGGCATGCATATGGGGCCACGATGCGGGGCCACAATGGGCAGCGACGGGGCCACAAAGGGCAGTAACGGGGCCACGAAGGGCAGCGAGCGAAGGCGACCGCGGAACCGATACGTGCAGCGAACGGGCGAAGGGGAGCGAGCGGCAAGGAAGTTCCAAGCGAGAGCGCGATTCTTCAATACATTGTGAGGAAGTATCAAGCGGGAGCCGCGATCCGGTGGTGAATTGCATGGAAATCCCAAGAGATAACGCGAATCTTCAATACATTGTGAGGAGGTATCAGGCGGGAGCCGTTGTTGTTGCAAACCGGGGGCCAATGACACAGATTGGCCCTCAAGACTTTCGCTGATAAGAAAACAGGGTGCGAGCTCCGGGAAGAAAAAAAAACAGTGTGCACCGGACGGGGGGATTAACGACAATTATTCTTCAGAAGTGAGAGTTCAACAACAATCATTTTGAGACTGCTCTTACTGTCACGCGTGTCTTGCATTCCGTATACCCCAACCCTCGATACCCGCCAATTTCGTCATCGACTGTACCCCTTTTCGGGGGAATCTCTCTTCCTGGTCGGCCACTGACTGAAGTGCGAAAAAATCTCGAGTGAGAGCGCCGTTCCTGAGTTCGGGGGTCTCTGTGGCCACGGGCTCTCGGAATACCTACGGAAAAATATCGAACGGGAGCCCTTGTCGCCGTGTCCGGGCCTCCACCAACTTGCCTGAATTACGGAAGAACCTCAAGCGAGAGCGCCGTTCCTGAATTCGGGGGGGTTCTTGGCCAGGGGCTCTGGGAGGAAATCGTGAGGAAATATCGAGCAGGAGCCATTGTCGTCGTGGCTGGGTCTCTGCCGACTTCATTGACTTGCGAAGAAATTTCGAGCGAAAGCGCAGTTCCGGAGTTCGGGGGCCTCTGCGGCCAGGGTGTCTCGGGGTAAATTGTAAGGAAATATCGAACGGGAGCTGTTGTTGTCGTAGCCGGGCCTCCAAGGGCCCACATGTAGGCTTAAGCCAACATTCGGGCGGTAGCCTTGTTTCCAAAGAAGATGTAGCCGGCATCGAAGCGAGGGCGCGTGGAACCGTTTCCGGAGACCAACAATAATCATCCGTTAGAAATGAATATTCAACAACAACAACACCAACAACAATCAGTTTAAGACTGGTCGCTCTTACTGGCACGCGTGTCCTGCATCCTGTATACCCCAACCCTCGACGCCCGCCCACTTCGTCTTCGACTGCACCCCCTTTCGGGGGGGAATTTCTTCCTTGTCGGCCACTGACTGCAACGCGAGGAACTCTCGGGCGAGAGCGCCGTTCCTGAGTTCGGGAGCCTCTCTGGCCAGGGGGCGGCTCTCGGAATACATATGGAGAAATGTCGAATAAGAGCCCTTGTCGCCGTGTCTGGGTCTCCATCAACTTGCCTGAATTACACGAAAGTCTCGAGCGAGAGCGCCACTCTTGAGTTCGGGAGCCTCTCTGGCAAGGGTCTTTGCGAATACATCTCCAGGAAGCATCGAACGAGAGCCCTTGTCGTCGTAGTCGGGCCTCCACCATTTTGATTGAATCGTGAAAAATTCCAGAGCGAGGGCGCCGTTCCTGAGTTCGGGGGCCTTCCTAGCCAGGGCGTTTCGGAGTAAACCGTGAGGCTCTATTGATCAGGAAACATTGTAGTCGTGGCTGGGCCTCCGCCAACTTCATTGAATTGCGAAGAGGTATCGAGCGAGAGAACCGTTCCTGAGTTCAGGGGCGTCTCTGGCCAGGGTGTGTCGGGGTAGATGATGAGGAAGTATCGAGCGGGAACCGTTGTCCTTACAGCCGGGCCTCAAGGGCCCACATTTACACTCAACCCAACGCTCGCGCGGGAGCCTCGTTTTCAAAGAAAGTGTAGCTGGCGTCGAGGCGAGAGCGCGCGGAACCGCTTCCGGATACCAGCCGTAATTATTTCATATCAGTGAATGTTTAACAACAGCAATAACAAGCATTCTAAGAGTGTTCGCTCTTACTTGCCCGCGTGTCATTCAAAACGAATTCCCCACACCTTGGATACCCGCCTTTTTTGTCTTCGATCACACCCCCTTTGGGGGAGTTCTTTCTCTTTGCTGGGGGCGGCGGGTTTAGACAGGCGGGCAAACCTGAACGGGCGGACAATCTTTCGTGCGCGTACATGTGCCCGGCATTGGAATTGGTGTGGGCCCTGCAAAAAGAGGAGGGGGTGAACGAGGGAGAATCGGAGGAAGGGAGGGGGAGGGACGAAGGGAGAGGGAAAACGAACGCCAGGAGAGAAGGAGCGAAGAGGGGGGCGGTGGATTAGAGGCAGAAAGAGAGAGAGAGAGAGAGAGAGAGAGAGAGAGAGAGAGAAATATACATATGTATATATATATATATACAAATAAGAGAGGTAGAGAAAGAGACAGAGAGAGAGGGGATAGAGAGAGAGAGAGAGAGAAAGAGAACAAAAAAGAGGGAGGGAGGAGGCAGGAGAGGGAAGGGAGAAGGGAGGAGGGAGAGGAGGGATAGGGGATAGGGGAGAGAGACATAAGGATGAGGGAAGAGAAGGGAGGAGAGGAGGGAGGAAAAAAAGGGAGGAGGAGCAGGAAGGAAAGAGCGTGAACGTTCGAGGAAGTCCTAGGCAAAAGCGCCGTTCTTGAAGGAAGTCTCGGGCGGGAGTCCACGACGATCCCCTGACGGGCGGGTCGGGCGGGCGGGACATTCAAGCGGAATGCCTGAGTATGGCGAGAGCGCGATTACTAAGTAAATTGTAACGGCGTCCTTGGCGCAGCGTGTTTCCTGAGCGTCGGGGGCGCGATTTCTGAATCCATTGCATGGCAGTCACAGACGAGAACGCAATTCCTGAATAAAATGTGAATGGCACTCTGGCGGGAGCTGGGGTCTTGATTCAATTTCGAGGAAGTCTTGCTTCAATTGCGAAGAGGTCTCGAGCGGGAGCGCCGTTCCTGAGTACATTGTAAGGAAGTCTCAGATGGGAGCGGGGTCTTGACTAAATTGCTAGGAAGTCACAAGCGAAAGCACCGATCCTGAGTAAAGTGTGAGGAAGTCTCAGGCGGGAGCCGTTGTTGTTGTTGCAATCCGGGGGGCCAGGGACATAGTTTGAGCACCAAGACTTGCCCTGTCAAAAAACAGGATGCGAGCGTCGAAGGGCACACTTTGATTGAAAAAACAATCTGCCCCAGTGAGGGGAAGTCAACAATACTTATACAGCAAACAACAAACAACAGCAGCAACAACAACAATAACAACAATAACAACCACAACAGTTACAACAACAACAACAACAGCAACAACAACAACAACAACACCAACAACAACAACAACAACACCAACAATAACAATAACAACAACAACAACAACAACAACAACAACAGCAACAACAACAACAATAACAACAACTACAACAACAACGACGACGACGACGGCGAAAACGATTGTGACGACGACGACGCCCTCGCAGCGCACCTGCGGCGCTGGCGGGGAGATCGCTCCAGGCATCCTCACGATGTGGGCCACAGGGGCGGCCTCGGGCGGGCATTGTGTTTGAGAAGATTCGTCCTCGTCGTCGTCCTCCTCCTCCTCTTCCACCTCCTCCTCCTCATCCACCTCCCCCTCCCCTCCTTACTCCCCTCCCCCTCCTCCTCTCCCTCCTCCTCCTCCTCCTCCTCCTCCTCCTCCTCCTCCTCCTCCTGCTCCCTTCTGCTCCCTTCTGTGCCTCCTCCCCCCCGCTCCCCCTCCCTCCCTCCTCTCCCCCACTGCCGCGCGCGCGGAGCGAGGAGGGAGGCGGGAGGCAGGGCGTGGGAGCCCGGGGCGTGCGGGCCTCTCTCCCCGCCGGGCACTCGCAGAGGAGCAGAAAACAGGCACTAAACATAACGTTTCGACCGATGGGCACGTTTTCCACCACCACCACCATGAGTTGGAGGGGGGAAGGCGGAGGAGGACAACGAGAAGGAGGACGAAGAGGAGGAGGAGGAGGAGGAGGAGAAGGAGGAGGACCACCTCCCCCTCCAACTTGTGGTGGTGGTGGTGGTGGAAAACACGCCCATCATTGACTACGTACCAAACCACCCCAACCCAAGCCGATGACCCGAACTTCGGGTTGGGGGGGGGGTATGGGCTCCGTATGTGTTTTTTCGATGTTTCCCGACCGCCCCCCCCACACCTGAAATGGAGGGCAAACTGAGGCCTTCGAGTTGGGTTGGGGTGGTTTGTTGGGTGGTGACGTTTTGACGGTCTGCGCGGACTTCTTGCATCTGGAGCTGGACCTCACCCCTGCCTGGCGCGCGGAGCGCGCCAGGGGCGACGCCGCAGGCACCGCCAGGGGGACCCCAGCGCAGATTCGATAAGTCCGCGCGGGCCGCCAAAACGTTTCGTTTGTGTCGTGTGCGTTGCCCTTCGACTCTCCAGAGGCCTCCTAGATGGGGTCGGAGTAGATCGGGTCGGAGGATCGCGCCGCATCGCGGATACATCGGCGATGCATCGGCGATGCATCGGTGATGTACCGGCGATGCATCGCCGACGTCGTCGATGCATCGGCGACATCGGCGTGAATCAACTCGGGCTCCGCATCGAGCCGCATCGTCGATGCATCGACGATGCGGCGCGATCCTCCAAACCCGCTTACTCGGACCCCACCCAGGATCGGGCGTTGGCGAGACTGGGTTTAGTGGGACCTGGTTTAGTGATGTGTACTGGGGGACGCCACCCAGCCCCATTCCACTATCCGGAACTGCCGCCACCCGAAAAACACCCGCTACGGCAGACCTGGTTTCGTGACTCCAGCGTGCGTTTGGGGCTTCGAGGCCCAATCACTACCGGGCTCCCCTTAGCGGGGGTCCTAGCTACACCAGGACTGAACCTAAACGGTGTTTTTCGTGCTCGTTTTGTTCTCGTTTTCCCTCGCGTTTGTCCCCAATCCGCCCTTGCTGCAAAACGAAGTCGAAGCGAAAACGGCCCACGAAATCACCAGACACGCCGTTCAGGTCCAGCCCTGAGCTGCACCCCTCTGGGAGGCCTTGGGCTCCCGCCGCCGGGCCCCGAGCGTGCCCCCTGCACCCAGGCGGCGCCGCGGGGCTCGTGCGGGCTGAGTGCTCGCCGCGCCCTCCCCGGCCCCCCCCCGGCCCCTCCCTCGCCCCCTCCCCCCCCCGGCCGCCTCCCTTTGCCACTGGGCTTCTTCGGTGGGGGTGCAAATGAAGGGGCCCTGGGACACACAAATGAATGCACACAAACAAAAAGACTCCCCCCGTATCTTCTTACATCTTCTGGGGTTTGGGGCTGCCCGCCCAATTCCCATATTCCCCTACATGTTCTGGGGTGTTTTTTCCCTCCTGAACAAAAAGTGCCCCCCCCCCCCCCCCCCCCCCGCGGCGCCGCGGGGCTCGCGCGGGCTGCGACGTGCTCGAGTTGGGCGTGGCTTAATGGGGGGGTCACAAATGGAGGGGGTCAGAAAAGGTCCCCTTTCGTGCCCCTTTCGGGCCCCTCCAGAGCCCCAGGGGGCTCGTTTAGGCACCGTTTGGGTACCGTTTTGGGGCTGCCCGCCCAGTTCCCATGTTCCCCTACATGTTCTTGGGTGTTTTTTCCCTCCTGCACAAAAATTCCCCCCCCCCCCCCCCCGCGGCGCCGCGGGGCTCGCGCGGGCTGCGACGTGCTCGAGCAGCACGGGGTCGGCTCCGGGCGCCGCTCCCCGCGGCGCGCGGGCGCGGGGGGGCGCCGCCCTCCCAGCACGGCCCGGCGGGGCCGCCCTCCTGCGGGGCCCGAGGCTTCCGGGGGGCGGGGGCCCCCGTTCGGGGCCGGCAGGGGCCCCAGAGAGAGGCCCTCGCCAAGGGGGGTCCTCGAGGGCCCTCTTCCTCCTCCCCCAGGGAAGGCCCCCCCCACCCCCCCCTTCCTCCTCCTGCTCCTGCTCCTGCTCCTGCTCCTCCTGCTCCTGCTCCTGCTCCTGCTCCTGCTCCTCCTCCTTCTCCTCCTCCTGCTCCTGCTCCTCCTCCTCCTCCTCCTCCTCTCCTCTCCTCCTCCTCCTCCCCTCCCCCCCCCTCCTCCCTCCCCCCCTCCTCCTCCTCCTCCTCCTCCTCCTCCTCCTCGTCCTCCTCCTCCTCGTCCTCCTCCTCCTCCTCCTCCCGCCAGGAAAAAGCAAGGAATGCATCGCTTTTGATAGGCAAGCGACCCCGAAGAAGGAAAATCCGCGACATTTGTCTTACCTTTTCCTGACCCCCAAGAGGCTGACCCCCAGTAGCAGACGAAGGACATTCTCGACCTTGGGGGATCAAACCGGATTCAGCGGGAGTAAGCCGGACTTCGGACCAATGCAACATCAGAATTTGACCTCCCAGGAGTTGCATCGCAAGCAGGGGACCCGTAGGTCAAGCCTCGGCGCAAGATGCCCGCCACCGTGCCTGCGTGGCGGCCTTCTGGCGCCGCTCCTCTCCAGGCCGTGACCGCCTGCGTCCATCTGAGCCACCCCCGAAGTTGCTCCTCTCCGGCCCGTTCTCGGCCTCCACACGGCCAAGCTGGCTTCCAATGCGGCTTCCAAGACGGCCAAGATGACACCAAGACGGTCGAAGATGGCCCTTGACGGCACCCGAGGTTCCCGAGCGGCGTCAAGACAAACCGGGAGGCTTCCAACACGGCCGAAGAGGGCTCCAAGAGGCCCTCAAGGAGAGCCCAAGAAAACGCACGCAGCACATGTTCTTTATTCACCGGCCCAACTGGCCAGAGGCATACTCATATCTCGGGTATTTTTTGATGGAGGCATATTGGATGATAGCCTCGTGCAGATACAGACTTTTTGAACGGCACATGACAAGCGGAACGAGACGGAAGTATGTCATGATGCTACGCAGGCAATCACGACCACAGAAGACCTCATCACATGTACTCGAAATGGGTGTCTGGGCAAATCCACAGGTACCAGCACAATTGAATGCAAATGTGACTTGCCAAGTGGCATGCCGTGCACTAGAGTCGACCACTCCGAACGAAGCCAGGTAGCCATAGAAAGAGGAGCGGCAGAAGGAGGAGGAGGAGGAGGAGGAGGAGGAGGAGGAGGAGGAGAGGGGCGAGACCACGGAAGCATGCAGAACGAAGCTCTAGGAGCCATGCCCTCATAAGGCAAATCAAATGCTCTTTAAAATGTTTGCACAGCCGTGCCTAAAAAAAATAAGGATCGGACGGGAACAACGATGTCCAAATGAAGTTCCTAGCGGTTGTAGCGCACGGCGGGGCGCCAAGCTTCAAAAATGCAAGCCTGAAGCTTCAGCCTTGAGCTTGAGCTTGAAGCTTCAGATCTGGTCTAACTGGTATGGTTGGTCTCGTCAGACCTTAGTGCTGAAGCTCTAGCTGAGGATTCGGGCGAGAGTGGTTTAGGGGAGGTCCAGGGAGGCAACGCCAACCACTACTACCGAAAAGCATGATTTGTTTTACATTGCAGTTTGTTGCTTTGTACAATGTGTTTGCATTGCAGTTTGTTGTGCATCTGGTCTGGCTGGTCTGGCTTGAGCTTAGTGCTAAATAAACTGATTGGGAATCGGGCGGGAATAGTTCAGGGAAGGTCCAGGGAGGCAGCGCCAACCACTACCACCGGGAAGCGGTTCTGTCTGCATTGGATGTGTTTAACTTTGCATTTTGTTGTTGCAGTGCACTTTGTGTTGCATCTTGTCTGGCTGCTCTGGTTGGCCTGGTTTGAGCTTAGTGCTGAAGCTTCAGCTAAGGATTAAGGATTCGAGCAAGAGTGCTTTAGGGGAGGCCCAGGGAGACAGCGCCGACCACTACCACCGAAAAGCAATTGTTTTGCATTGCAGCTCTTTTTGCATCTGGTCTGGCTGGTCTGGCTTGAGTTTCGTGCTGAAGCTTTAGCTTAGGATTCGGGCGAGAGTGGTGTGGGAGAGGTCCAGGGAGGCAGCGCCAACCACTAGGACCACCAAAAAGCAGTTCTGGTTGCATTGCAATTGTTTGTTACATCTGGTCTGGCCGGTCTGTTTGGGCTGGTCTGAGCTCAGTGCTGACGTTTTCGCTTAGGATTCGGGCGAGAGTGGTTTAGGGGAGGTCAAGGGTGGCAGCGCCAAAAACTACCACCGAAAAACACTTGTTAAGAAATTCCATTTGCACCTAGTCTGGTAGTTCTGGTTGGTCTGGATTGAGCTTAGTGCTGAAGCTTTAGATTGGGATTCGGGCGGGAGTGGTTTACAGGAGGTCCAGGGAGACAGTGCCAATCACTACCGTCGAAAGTTGTGTTTTTGCATTGCAGTTTGTTTGGTTTTGCAGTTTTCGTTGTTGCTGTTGTGTTGCATGTTTTGTTGCACCTGGTCTGGCTGGTCTGGCTGGTCTGGTCTGAGCTTAGTGCTGAAGCTTTAGCTGAATATTCGGCGGGAGTGGTTTAGGGAAGATCCAGAGAGGCAGCGCCAACCACTACCATCGAAAATTAATCGGTTTGCATTTCAGTTTCCTGTGTTGCATGTTTTGTATTTTGCAGTTTGTTTTGCACCTGGTCTGGCTGGCCTGGTTCATTTGGTGGGAGTTAAATGATGAAGCGCTTCACCCTCGAGCTTCCATAGTTGGTCTACCAGGCTGGTCTAGTTGGTTTACCTGAATGGTGTAACTGGCTGGTCTGGCTGGTCTGCTTGGTCTGGGCAGATTCACCTACTTGGTCTGGTCTGGGCCCCGCTAGTCGCAAGGAAAGCAGAAGGAGGACGAAGACAAGGCCCGCGAGGACAGGCACGCGGAGGATGAGGAGGAGGAGGAAGGAGGAGGAGCAGGATAACGAGGATGAGGACGCGGAGGGGGAGGAGGAGAAGGAGGAGGAGGAGAAGGAGGAGGAGCACTTTCTCTGACGGTCCCAGGGACCGGCGACAGCTCCGCGCCCTCGTCTTCGACTTCCTCGTCGTCGTCGTCGTCGCCGCCGTCGTCGTCGTCGTCGACTTCCTCGTTGTCGTCGTCGTCCCGCCCCTGGCGTCGCCGCAGCCGGGGCTGGGACCGAAATCGCTGCTGCGTCGAGTCTGACTGCGGCGGAAAAGGAAGCGAGCGGGGAGGGAACTTCAGCAGCCATAATAATTTGTCTGGCCCGCAGTAAAGTAAGGCGCTGGAGCATAAGAGCTTTTCGCCTCGAGCGGCTCCCAAATTCGGCCGCCTAACTTACAAGCCCTTGGATGGGGGCAACTGTCCAGCCTCCAGCCTAGGTCGCGACGCGCGAAGAGCAATGAGACTATTGCCGCCAATGGACAGCGGGAGTAATTCAAACTTAGTCGTTCTGGTTTATTAAAGGAAGCCTCAGGAGCCATGCCCTCATGAAATACTTGAAACGCTGCTGCGATGCTTGTCCACTCATGCTCAAAAGGCAGGTCCAGCACACCACGAGTGCAAGTCCGTGAAAAAACGGATTCAATGATACATTCGCTGCCAGATTCGGCCACCTGACCTGGAGCGTCGCGCTCCGCGATTCGTGACGCGCCCTTGCCCGCGCGCTCTCGAAAGGTCACCTTGGAGGAGGGCAGCTGTCGGCGCGAAGCGCACTTCTTCGCGCCCATGAGGATGACCTGAGTATCCAGCTTCCTAGTACTTGTGGGGACGCAGGCGCGCGCGCACGCCCGCGTACAGCCCCCCCCCTCCCCCGCACCACGTGGCCCAACTCGCGCAGCTCGACTGGGATGCCTGCTTGGTGGGGGGCCAGCTCGTGGCCACGCTGGCACGGGGTCGTCAACTGGGCCGCGCTGCGTGGCATCTTCTTCGTTCTCCGCCTCCTCCTCCGCTCCTCCTCCTCCCCGCGGAACTCATCGGGCGCAACAAAGTGCGCGCACCTCGGCTCTTCAGTCACAAGAGCAGCCGCACGTGGGCCGCCAAACCAGACACCTGACAGCTCTGACCACTGACCACGCATGGGCTCGCCTCAGGCGAAGGATCGGCTGGGCAGCAGAAGCGAGGGAAGGAGAGCGTTCCGAGGGAAGCAGGCGGCGACAGGGGTGGCGAAGGAGGCATGGGATGGGGTGAGCACGCCACAGCAGGCGAGAGGATGGGAATCGAGAAGTGACCAGCTACGACAAAGGAAAGGTAATTAAACTATGGCACTTCCAGGAGTGCCAGAATCTCTCAGCGCAGCTCGGGCGGCCAAGGAGACACGGGGAATGCTTCTGAATGCGAATCTCCGAGGTCCACGCAGCAGCGAGCGTTATGAGTACAGCAAGAGCACCAGGCAGGAGGGAGGGAAAGGACCACCGCTTGACATCGGCCCCAATCTATACCATCGATCTCCTCGAGATGTTCTGGACACCCCTCCCGTAGACGAGCGATGCAGATGGAGGTGAGCTCTTGCCCCTTTCCCTGTCGGCGCCCTGGTCCCCCGCCCCTCCCGAGTCGCCTGAAACAAGGAAATGGTGCAACCGAACACTCGCCATCGCTCGGACGTCCATTCCCAGTGTTTTTTGTTCGGTCTCGTGCGTGTTTTTTTTCGCCAATTGATCAAGGATGCTCCTCGATGGTCCTCACCGAAGGAAAAATGCACACGTCCGAGCGATGCCAAGAACATTCCCTGGGCAGCCAGCCTCCGGACGATGAACGCGGGTGGAGAACTCACGGCTCCTCCGGCGGCGCAGCCGGCTCGCGCTCTCCACCTCCTGGTGCTCTCTCTATGTAGCCCCTGCAGCCGTGACGCTCCGACCCCGAGGACAGCCGCGACGGGTCCAGCCCCAGTCAGCCGCGCCCCGTTCCATCTTTCTGGGAACGCCCAGGCGTCACAGGGGGTGACGAAATGGACAAGCGCGTGCCCTTTCGTGGTCCCGGCGTGCAAGTCTGTTGGTAAGTAGGCGGAGTCCTAGCGGTTCGCGAAGCCAGACCTGTCGATGAGGTCAAGCAAACCTCTCTGCGTCACAGCCATCGGAATGCTGCGGACCATGAGCGTAGTGGTGTCTGGAGCGCTAAGGGCGGTGGGAGCTGCCCTGTCGATCGGCACCAGCACGTTGCCCATGAGATCACCCTTCTGAAGCTCCAGCTCCACCAGGTCGGGCTCCTGCTGGAGAATGTTCTGTCTGATCTCCTGAACCTGCCGCTGGAGCTCTGCCAGCAGCTGCTCCTTCTGTAGCAACTCATGAGAGACTCCCATACCATCTTGCCGGCTCTTGCTAATCGACGCTAGTCGACGATAATTCGGCGCTACACCGACGCTAACCGACGCTAGCTGACGTTGAATCGGCGCTACCTCATCTACTCCCAGACGCTCATCGAAGCTAATCGACGCTAAAGACATCACTACGAGGGTACACGAGGTTCCCATGATTTGCTACCGAATGCTCCTGCTCCAAGAGCCTGGCCCGCTGCCCCTCCAGCGCCCTGCTGGCGGCCGCGAGCGCGCCGCGGGCGGCTCCCGCCCGCCCTGCGCCTGCCGGCCGCCGCACCCGGCCGCGGCCCCAGCCGGGCGCGGCCACGCCCGGCCGAGCGTGGGCGGGCTGCGCCTGCCGGGCCCAGTCGCCCGGGGGCCGCCCAGCGAGCGCCGCCCCCGCGGGGGGGGCGCGGCGGCACGCCGGGCGGATTGCGCGGCGAGCAGGGCGGCGCTGCCCCGGCGACGCCGTGGAACTCGACGCCTCCAGGCCGAGACGGCGGCCGCTCGCGAGCAGCCGGCTGGGCGCCGCCGGCGCCCGCCCAGGCGGAGTCCTGCCCGTTCTCGGGTGGGTTCTCGGGTGCGCAGCCGCCTCCGGATTCCGCTCGCCCGAGCGCGCGCGGGTGGTCGAACTCGTCGTCAGTCTCCGATGACTCGCCGTCGCTCTCCTGGCAGGGCGGCAGAGATCGCATGGTGGGGAGCGATTTCATGGTGGCCCCCTGCTTGGTGGGCAGCGAGCGCATGCTCGGCAACGACGCGTAGCTGTGATCCAAACATTGGCATGATGCGTGAGAGGCCACGTTGACGTAAGCTGCGAGAGATCCGTAAGGATCCATCGTTGACGTTGTCATAGAGGCGCCCTGATTGTTACCACTGCGAATTCCGGTCGGGCCGCAGAAGCCGCAATCGTTGCAAGTGGCGTTGGGGCTGCCTCTTTGGATCCACTGAGTGCCACACCTCGTTGGCGAGTCCATCTTCGCAAGAATTAAGCTGTAGAAGAAAAGCGTTAAGCCAGAACTCGTACTTGACCTAAAACCGCTTGAGCCAAACATGGCTACGGAACTAAGATCTCCGGTAACTGGTTAACAACTGGTTAACAATATGTGTGGTTCGCGCGGGCGGGGCGGCCCCTGGGAGCCCCCAGACCCAAAGTGCCCTGGGAGCAGCTGGGCTGTAGCCAGGCATACTCCCCCAGAGCGCTCCAGGAGCGCTCCAAGAGGGCCCCCATGGCCCCCAAGACGGTCCAAGAGGGCTCCGAGTCACCGAACGACTGGTCGAAGACTCCCAGGATGGCCTCCAGACGGTCCAAGACGCCTTCAATACGCCCCAAGGAGGCCTCCAAGAGACCTTCCAAGAGAGCCTCTAGAAGTACTAACTTGTGATTGTCCATCGGTTCTTGAAATTTTGGCGTTCTCGTCGTTTCGGCTTCCCGGCGCACCAAGACAGCCCAAGAAGTCCCCAAGATCGCCCCAACACGGCCCAAGAGGACTCCAAGATCGCCCCAAAACGACCCCAGAGGGTCCCAAGACAGACCCAGGCCCAAACGGCCCCCAAGACGTCTCCAAGAGCGGGCCCAGACGGGGGGGCTCGAACAGACATTTCGAGCTGTAGGCCCCGAGAAGCCCCCAGGAGGCCCCGGGAGGCCACCAGGAGGCCCCCGAGAGGCCCCCAAGAGGCCCCCAAGAGGCCCCGAAGAGGCACCCAGGAGGCCCCAGAAATACCACCCAGGGGCCCCAGAGAGGCCCCCCAAAAGACCCCCAAACGCCTCCCAAAGAGGCGCTTGGCCACGACCAAGTTTGGCCACACAATGGCCCATTAAGCTATTGGGAGGCTTCCTTCCTTCCTCCTCCTCCCTCCTCCTCCTTCCTCCTCCTCCTCCTCCTCCTCCTCTCCTCCTCCTCCTCCTCCTCCTCCCTCCTCTCCTCCCTCCTCTCCTCCTCCTCCTCCCTCCTCCTCCTCCTCCTCCTCCTCCTCCTCCCTCCTCCCTCCTCCTCCTCCTCCCTCCTCCTCCTCCTCCTCCTCCTCCTCCTCCTCCTCCTCCTCCTCCCTCCCTCCTCCTCCTCCTCCTCCTCCTCCTCCTCTTCCTCCTCCTCCTCCTCATCATCATCATCAGCATGATCATCATCATCACCCTTCCGGCTCGCCACGAGCACACCAACGAATAGCACCAGTGATGCAAAATCTATACGACCGCCCTGCGGGCGATAAGGAGGTTGGGGTGGATTGAGACAAAAATGCCCACCCTGACTGACCTCCAGCCTGTCACCTTGATCTCATCTCTCTCTCTTTCTCCCTGTCTCTCTCTCTCTCTCCCTCATAAGAATAAGCTGGATTGGAGAAGAAAACCCGCCGCAGGCGCCGATAAAAATGAATTGATGGATTGGGTTGGGTGGATTAGATTGGATGGGATAAGATTCGATTGATAGGATAAGATAAGATGGGTTGGATTGGAAGAAATGGATTAGATGAGATAAAATGGATTGGATTGGCCCGCCGCAGGCACAAAAACAAATGAATTGATGGATTGGATTGAGTGGATTGAATTGGGTGGGATAAGATAAGGTGGGACAATATGGGCTTGATAAGATAAGATGGATTGGATACAGGGCGGTCATACAGGTAAGATAAGCTGGATTGGATAAGAAAGCCCGCCGCAGGCGCAGAAAAAAACGAATTATGAAATTAGCGACATGCGTTAGCGCCGGGACGCCCGGGACACCCGGGACACCGCCCGGCCCAACGGGACACCTCCCGGCCACCAGCGGACGGGAAACGGATCTTCGCTCCTACTGACACCCAGGACACCCAGGACACCGCCCGGCCCAACTGGGACACCTCCCAGCCACCGGCGGACGGGAACGGACTTTCGCTCCCACTTCGGCCTAGCTACAGGAGGATCACGCGCAGCTTCGCCTCGCCCGCGCGCACGACACGAGCACGAAACCGAAACCGATTTCCCGGGGGGGGGTCTCCGTTTCACTGCGATCTCACCCCCCAACCTCCGAGAGTGTCAGGGGCCATCACAAAACTGTTTTTGATTCGCGGGTCGAGAGCGAGCCTCTTCCGGTCGAAGCTAAGCGGGCCGCGCACAGCTTTAATTAACAGAGGAAGGAAAAAAGAAGGCGGGGCCTCACGTCAAGGCCAAGGAGAGGGCAAAGCCCCGGGATCAGGCGGTGCTGAAAGCGAAGTGCATGCAAAGGAACGCCTTGGACAGGAACCTGGAGGCGAAGTACCAGGAGGCGAAAAGCTGGTGGTGGTGCCGTCAGCGCGGGAATCACAAAACAGGCGGCGGGACGGAAGACCAGCCCCCGAAGAGGACGAGAGGTCCATGCGCTCGAGCAAAAGAAAAAAACACTCCTGCTCCACCGACCGCCTCCAAGATGGCCCCCAGAGGCCCCCCAGGGGCGCCTAAGAGGCCCCCAAAAACGGCTCCAAGGGCGCCCCAAGAGGCCCCAAGAGGCCTTCCAAAAGCCCCCGAAAGGCACCCAAGAGGCCCCCGAGCGGCCTCAGAGAGCCCAAAATGACCTCCACGATGGCTCAAGATAACCCAACCTGGCTCAAGATGGCTCCCAAGATGCTCCAAGGGGCCCCAAGACCGCTCCAAGACGGCTCGAGATGGCCAGCCCCTTCAGACGTCCCAGGGCTTCTGAATGGGCTGACTCTGCGTGTCTCTTCCTCTCCCCCCCCTCAGCTCTCATGGGCATCGTTTCTGGATGGGCTGGTGGAGATATATTTTTTGGGTCGCGGCCACCAGCGAAGAGCGCAGGCGGCGAACAGGGAGTCCGGGCCGACGGGCAAACCTAATTAGCTGCTGGGCGCGCTGGTGGGGATACGCGAAGTGTCAAGAACTACTTCTAAGTCCCCGCTCGTGCTCGGATTGAAAATGTCGTGCTCGAGCTAAAAACGATAAGAAAACGAAATGCCAACACGGGGTGACGAAACTGCCCAAGCGTGACCGGCGTTTGTGGGGAATCTGAAAACGTATTGAAAACGTAACGAAAACATATAAAAAAAACAGCGCGGCCAGGCGCAACTTGGTTCCAGGTCTGAATACGGAAAGAAGACGGTCATTGAAAACAGATAAAAAAGGAGCTCGAAACTGACTGAAAACGGTGGCCCACATCTGCAAAACGGCAAGAACATGACAACCAAAACGGAAAGAAACCGACGATCTTGAAACCAAAACAAAAACGCCCCCAGCGTTTTTAACAACAGGTAAGGTCGTGACCATAGCTTCGGACAGCCGTAGCGACGAGGGCGCCCTCCAGGAGGCCCCCACAAAAAAACCGAAAGGCCTCAGCGACTCGGACCTCGATGCGCGACGACGACGACGGCAACAGCTTGGCAACCACAAGTGGGCGACGACCAAAAACGGGCCTTACGCTAGGTCACGTAGCGACCTTACGCGGTGGCTCACGCGAGCCGCTGGGGCGCGGCACGCCACACTGGAGACGAGGGCGCTTACGCGCGACCTTACGCGGGCAGCTTACACGCCAGTGTCGGCGCCGACGAACCCGTTTCTTGTCGTCGCTCAAGTGAACCCTGCCCTGGCATGTCAGATGTCTGAAGCACTGGCGGGGGCCCCGAGTTTGAAGACCGTATGCAGCCAAGCGAACCCCAGCAGGGGGCAAGGGCAGCGACGACTGGGAAGCCAAAAGGTACCAATGCCGCAACTCCCCAGACCTCCTCCTGGGGCGCGCCCTGACCGGAATTTCGACGCGAATCAGGCGGTGGCGGCGAGGGCATTCCAGGAGGCCGAAAAAGGGGAAAATGAGGCAAGGGTAGCGGTACCTGTGCCTCTTCCTCTTCTGAACGACGACGACGGCGACGGCGGCAGCGACGGCGACGCCAGCGGCCACGATGACGGCGGCGACAGCAGCGACGGCGGCGGCGACGGCGGCGACGGCGACGGCGGCGGCGGCGACGGCGACGGCGACGGCGGCGACGGCGACGGCGGCGGCGACAACGGCGGCGGCGGCGACGATGACGTCGGCGACGGCGACCGCGACGGCAGCGGCGGCGGCAACGGCGACGGGGGGGGCCCACGCGGCGGGCGCGGCCTGGATGGGCACGGGCGCCGGGAGCGCGGGCGCGGTTTCGAGCGACACGGGCGTCACGGGCGACACGGGCACGGCCGACCTGCGGCAGGGCCCTCCCGCGACCCTCGATCGGCGACGGCAGCGACGGCGGCAGCGACGGCGGCAGCAACAGCGACGACGACGGCGGCCCTTCCTGCTGCTCTTGCTCAGACCGCCGACGTCTTAAGACGTTTCGGCCGACCTGGGGGGCATGTGGTCATGAACTGCGCTTGGCATGCGTTGAATTGCTTTCGCTTTCGCTCTGTGTATCCCAAGGCCTCTGCGCAGATTTGCCAGCATTTGGAAGCCGGCTCGAAGACTCCCAGGGCCATCAAAGAGCGCCCTGGGATGGAAAACTGTTCCCTGGGAAGGGGCCGGCAGGCCAGAAAGCCAGCGACTCCAACAGAGAGTCGTGTCGTCGGAGCCTGGAGCTCAGTCCCACGGTGCCCTCCTCTCTTCCCTCCCGCTCCTCCTCCAGCGCGGTCCTGGACAAGGGGGGCAGAACAAAACTCACATCGGCTGCAGTGCTGGCGCGGCGGCCAAGGCGGCGCATGTCTTGGCCGCCGCGCACAGAAGCAGGACTGCAGTCGAAAAAGGTGGACGTGGCAGGCACTGTGCCGCCTGGCCATAAATAGATAGATAGATATATGCGCGGTGGATTCGTGTCGTGCCGACTTCGGCGTTGGTTTCTGACACTACGGGGATCGTTCAACCTCGAACGATCGGCAGTTTCCGAAACATTAGAACATTGACAAATTCTGGGTCGCGAGCGGCGTCAAACGTATAAGGGCGGCGGCGGGGTCGCCGCTGGTCGACACCACACGACACGAACCGAAAATCCGTAAGGAACCCCAGGTGAGGAGCGGAGCTCTATACACCGACGCGTTTTCCGGCCCCGCACTGAAATTCGCACAAGAAAGCAGATCCTGGTGTATACGGGATCCTGGTGTACACAGTGTTCGTTGCTTCCCTGGGAGAACAGGGAAAATGTACACCACACCACCCCGACGTCGTCGCCGACCCTCAAAAAGTCCAGGAATTGAAGAACAGCCCGCCACTGGCAATGTATATGCTCAAGTTTCAGACCAGGGGCACCGGGAGAATGGGTAAAAAAGAATACACCACACCACCCCCACGTCGTCGACGATCCTCAAAAGACCTGGGATTGAAGAACAGCCCGCCAATGGCAATGTACATGCTCCAGTGTCGGACCAAGAGCACCGGCGAAACGAGGAAAGAAAAGTATACACCACACCATCCCGGCGTCGTCGCCGACCCTCAAAAGTCCTGGGATCGAAGAACAGCCCGCCAATGGCAATGTAAATGCTCCAGTGTCCGACCAAGAGCACCAGGAAAGCGAGGAAAGAAAAGCATACAATCATCGGACCTAAGGAATGATAAATAAGGAACGAAGCCCCTTTTATCCAAGTAGGTTTACGAAGTCCGAAGGAACGGCCCAGCCCCTCATCGGCAAAATGAACCCGCGCGTCCAACATCTGAAGGAACACCAGGAGGGCTCGCCGCCAAAAAGGTAGCGGAACGCATGCAAACCCTAGGAACGACCGAGCCCCTTTTGAAAAGTGAGTGCTCCTCATTCGAGCCGCTCGCCGCTGTACACCACACCACCCCGGCGTCGCCCCCGACCCTCGGAAGGCCATAGGATTCAAGAGCAGCCCGCCACTGGCAGCGCATCTGCTCCAACTTCCGCCCAGAAGCACGGCGCATGCGCGCGCTCCTCCTCCTCCTCCTCCTCCTCCTCCTCCTCCTCCTCCTCCTTCTCCTCAGGGAGCCCGGGAGGAGGAGGAGGAGGAGGAGGAGGAGGAGGAGGAGGAGGAGGAGGAGCGCCCCAATCCAAAGCATGACTCTTGCGTCGCGGGGGCTTCGAAGCGAGACCCGCAGGAGAGGCCCAGGGCGGGTGGGGGGGGGGGGGAAGCGGGCGAGGAGGCTCCGTACGCGCCGCCTCGGCCGCCGGCCTTCCGCGGGCAGGCTCGCTCCAGGCTGCCAGAAGGGGGCCTCAACAGACCTCCTCCTCCTCCTCCTCCTCCTCCTCCCCCTTCTCCTTCTTCTCCTCCTCCTCCTCATCCTCATCACCATACTCATCCTCATCCTCCTCCTGCTCATCCGCCTCTTCCTCCTCCTCCTCCTCCTCCTCCTCCCCGGGGAGGGATGCCGACCGATGCGCTCCCTGGAAGCCCAAAGGGCGACCAGGGGGTCCGATGAGTCAAGGGCCAGTCAGCAGGAGGAGAACAAGGAGAACTCAGCGATGACATGAGCATCACGACTCGGAGGTCCGCGCGGATTCCTCGGATCGTCGCTGGGGACCTCCAGGCGGCGCCTCTGGAACCCGCCGCTGGCGCGCTCCGCGCGCCAAGGAGGGGGGTCCAACGCCGATCCGAGGAATCCGCGGGGACCTCCGAATTCTTTTGCTTAAGTCATTGCTTGTTCCCCGACAGGAGGAGAACGGTCGAAACGTGGGCACATGAGTGAGGTCCGTCTCGAACAGTCCACCATTGTGCCGACGGCCCCCTGCTCCAGCGAGGCACCCTGAACGAACATCATTCCGAAATGGAGGACCCACGCACGATGCCCGCAAGGGTACACGTCGGTCGAAAGAAGTGGGTAGAAACATGAAGTAGGAAGGCGGAACAAGTAGGTTGGGTTCAGGCGCTCCCAGATGATGACAACACACAGCACACGCATGCCGATTCTTGAAACGGGAAGGCGCTTGACGTAGATCGGGATCTGGGAATCCAGAAAAAACCTACCCTGTCAACGACCGACGTGTAGACCCTCCAAAGCCAGGGCTGCCCGTAACCACCGTGCTGCCTGTGGGTACCACTCCGCCGCAGTGTCGTGGCCGCTGACCGTGGAAGGCGCGGCGGGCGGCGGCGCAGAGGAGGCCCCAAGTCACTCTCGCTCTCGCGCGTGCGGTGCCCGCAATCGCCGCTGGGGCTACGTACGCGCCGGTCGGGAGACGTGGGTCAGAAAATGACGTGGGAAGGCGGATAAAGAAGAACGGGCTCAGGCACCCTCAGGAAGCAGCAACACACAGAAGCGCAGATCGGTGCTCAAAGCAGGAGGGCGCCTGAGGTACATTGGGATCGGGGAGTCCAAGAATAGACCTACTTTCAACGACAGGCGTGCAGCTGGCCCCTCGGTCGAACGTGCTAAAAAAAGTCGAACGGAGGATACCAACCGGGCAGAAGGAGGGTTGGCGGCATGAGCAGGAAGAGGAGATGTTGGGAGGTTCTGGGCTCCATGTTCAAGGGCTTCTGGACGCGTCTGGAAGTCTTCTGGGCATCTCGGTGGCTTGCAGTCCGAGCACTTTCGGATGGCCTCGGAGACGTCCATCGGGCTCGGAAGAAGACCCTGGCACCCAAGAGTCGTGAAGAAATCGCGGCATCAGGTTCTGAAAACACCCTGGCACCCATAGAGGTGAAAAACTCCACCCCCATCATAACCGCCACGACACGCGAAGTCGTTTAGTAAAAGCGCCCAAAGAAGGAATCGAACAGGGCAGGCCTGTTTAGCAAACGCCCAGGGCCGTTTAGTAAACGCCAATTGTCCGGTCCGGGTGGCTTTTCCTTCCTTGAACCCAAGCGTCGTGAAGACATCGCGACGGCCGTTTTTAAGCCTCGTCGGCCCTCACGGATGGGTCCAGCCCGAAAGGGGTTCTGGAGCCTTCTCCCCTGCAGGGCGGCGCTGGCGGCGCCGCAAGGGGGTGCCCGGTGCCTGCACAAAAACCTCCCAGAGGACCTCCAAGCGCTTTTGTGCTCGTGCCGTTCCTTGCAAGACGAAGCCAGGACGAGGATAACATCGGGGGAGGATACATCAGACATCTCTGAGATCCGGCGGTTATGGAGGAGGTCTCGGGCGTCGCGGCCTTCTCAGAGCATGCCAGGACGCTCCGAGAGCGTTCCGGAACGCTCTGGAGGCGGATCGATCCTCGTTCCAGCCCCGTCCGACCTGGACCCTCCGATCTCAGGTTGCGCTCGCGCAGCCCGCTGGAGGTCGTCCTGGCTAGCCTTTGCAGGCCGTCAGGCCGGTCCAGGGCGGCCTCGAGACCCACAGATCCGACGATGGGTCCAGCGGGCGGGCGGGCCGGGATGGACGAGTAGGTGTTTTCCATAAGCTCGCCAATCCAAACGGGTCAGCCCAGAAACTAAATCACGGCCAACGCTCTCGACCACATCTCTGCGCGAGATTACTCAAACTGCCGCGAGGGCCCAGGGTTCCAGAACCGGGGCAAGCAAACACACGTCGCACCCTCTTCGCGGAGGCCTCTTTGGGGTCAGGGTCTCCAGCATGCCCATCGAGGGCAGCGAGCGTTCTGGCTGGCTCCAGCCTTGAGAGCGCGGGCCCCGAGCCCAGACGCCGCGTGAGCCGCTCCAACTCACTGCACAGCCTCTTCGCTCGCAGGGGCCCCCGGGGGCCGTCGCCCTGGCCTCCCCTCGAAAAGCAACGCCTGGGAGGAGGAGGAGGAGGAGGAGGAGGAGGAGGAGGAGGAGGAGGAGGAGCAGGAGGAGGCGGAGGAGGAGGAGGAGGAGGAGGCGGAGGACGAGCATTTGCATGCCTGTGCCGCCTCCTGCTTCCTTCGGGCCTCGGCGGCGGGCGCGGCCGGACTGCAAAAAACCCGTGGCCTCGGCGGCGGCCTGCGGCCTCGGCGGCGGCCTCGGGCCCTCGCGGCCCGACGGGCCCCCGCGGCTCCGGCGGCGAGGGGGCGGGGCCCGCCCTCGCAGTCCGTCCTCCCCCGGCGGGGCCCTGCGCCCTGCCTGCCGGCCCCCCGTCCTCCTCGTGCCGTCGCTCGGAGGTAGAGAGCCCACAAAGGACGTACGCGCCCAGCTATGTACATGAACACGGCCCCGCGATTCGCGAGACCCGCCGCGCTATACGAGCATTTGTGCAAGGCGTGCTCTCGAAACCGGCGTGGATTCATGTACATGTACGTCCTTGTTTCGCTCCTGAGCTCGGACGTCCATTTCCCGTGCATTGTTCGATTTCGTGCGTGATGTTTTTTGTGCCCGATGGTCCAGGATGGTCCTCGATGGTTCTCGCTGGGGA